TCTAAAAATCAGAAGGTTCAACACAAGAAAAGAAGTAGAGAAGGAGGATGATAGTAAAGGGCAATCCCAAGTTGACAGCTGTTCAGCAAACCTAGAGAGCAATCAGTCCATAGAGGAACAAGAAGTGAGAGGAAGGATGAAACAGATAAATTATCAGGTACATTTGAATATATTGAGGGAAGTGTCACACGTCTGGCTGAGGGTTTAGGAATCCATCAGTTATAGATACATAGAAAACTCAGCAAGTAGGAAAAAAATCACAATTTAATCATTTAAAATAGTCAATTCTAGGGGGGAAATTGAATAAGAAAGGAAATCTATTTGTAATACACTACAGGACTCAGCTGTGAACACTTGCATAATTATAATCATGTAAACACTGAATACTGATCAAACAACAAAGAGTTAAAATGTAACTCTATTGGGAGGATGGGAGAGTGGACAAGTGTATCTGGGGAGCAGGGGTATAAAAGAGCCAAAGTTCATCTTCTATAATACGATTACGGGTAAAGCTGGAAAATGCCATAATGGCCATCTAAGCATGTTATTAGAACTGAGAAAATAAATGCCAACAGCGTTCCAAGTGATGGCCTCTGTGGAGTGTGAGTCAGCGCTGGCAAGGTGACATAAGCCTTTGGTTTATTTGGGCTTTTAAACTATATAAATATATAACTTTGATAATAACTTGAATTTTTAGGAAAAATATTTTAAAACTATCCTCCAAAGCATTGTCATAGGGTGATTTTGTGTTCACTATTTTAAGTTGATGGGAACAACTAAATAAATAAGAGAGATAGGAGATGGGGAGAGGAGAACTATGAAGATGCTTTGTAGGTAAACCTGGTGACTGATTGGCCATGCAAGGTAAGGGGCAGGGGAAAGAGGCAAGAACCCTTATTGTATCTGGCAAGTACATTTGGTAGAGGTGGTAGAGAAAGAAAATTTCAGTGAAGGAGCAAATGTGGTCCAGACCCCCATCACATATTCTCACAGCACCTTGTGGTTTCCTTCATAGCACTTATCTCAGTTGATGATCACAAGTTTATTTGAATGGTTGGTTACTATCCGCCTCCCACCACACATAAGGCTCCTTAAGGGATGAGTCTATGACTGCTTCATTCTCTGTTGTCACTCCAGCCACCAGCAGCATCAGGCACATAGTAGGCACTCAATTAAGATTCTCTGAATGAATGAAAGACTGAATGATGAGTTGTTTAATTCGTTACTATTCATGGCTGTACTCCAATCTGTTAAAGCAACCCCAATTGCTACAGTGGGTTTAGAGAGAGTGAAAACCCACTCAGGGGTGGATTGGCTGCTGCACATAGCAGCTGTTTCTATAGATCTACACAAATCATCGATGAAACAGGTAACCAGAAAAATCAGAAGTGTGTTCTATGTCATAGATGGGCTCACAGTTCTTCCCCTGTCCTAACAGGGCATGTCTAAAGTGAGCTGTGGTTGTACAATGTGCCTTTTCAGCCTACAATTAGGTGCACTTGGAGATACTGGGGCCTCTGAGTCATCTTGATGCGTTCATTCCCAACTGAAAGGGAACAGGGTCAAATCCCAAAACGTGCCTTGTAAACCTGAACGAAGTTCACTGTGGTGAGAGCTTTCCTCCCATGTGGGGCTTTAACAGCCAAGTGGCCATCTTATGTAACTGTGAAACCCCCAGTTACAATTACCCTAATGTTGACCCAGAGCTTATCACTGTAGGCCAGAGGTGGCCCCCATGTCTCCATCAGCCCCCCCAAATTGCCCCAATTAAACATGTAATCCAAGCAAAACCAGTGTGCATGCTACACATGCAGCCTCAAGTGGGCAAGATGCAGTACGAGGCCTTGGCCCACTCGCCCCCTCCAGCCACACCGCCACCCTGGGCA